TCGGGAGAGTAGTTTACCCATCGAGGGATTTGTATTTCCGAAATAGTGTTCAGATTGTTGGCAAATTGGGACCATTTTATCAAGCGTAGTGGTTTAACTTGTTCGTCCCAATCTGTTCCGTCTAGCCACAATTCTTGAATGAGTATCTTTGCTTGGATCATAATTGGTGCAAGCCATCCTGCGGGGTCAAAAAGTTTTGCCACAGACGACAGGATTTGCCTTTTGGTTTTTGCGGATATTGCAGATATTGACTCAAGAGTGTATGAGAATTGATCTGATATCGCATTCCATCGTATTCCCAGAGTTTTGGTGGTACTTTCTTTTTCAAAGATGAGGAAGTTTGTGTCTAATATGTGATCTTTATTTATATTTTTTAATATTTCGGGGTGGTTGGCCGTTATCTTTTTTAAGGGGAACCCTGCGGAGTTGAGGGCTTGGATCACTTGAGATAGTGATTCACATGCTTGGGGTAAGCTGTGGCTTCCCGACAGGATATCGTCCACATAAGTTTGTGTTTTTTAACACCGGGGTTGCTAGAGGCAATTTTTCTTTTATATCGTTTGCCAATTCGTGAAGTGTTCGAATGGCAAGAAAGGGGGCGCAATTTACGCCAAATGTCACCGTTTTTAATTTGTAGTCGCGTATTGGACTACTAGGTGAATTGCGAAATATAATGCGCTGAAAATCTTGGTCGTTTTTATGCACAAGGATTTGTCTGTACATTTTTTCGACATCCCCATTGAAAACGTATTTAAACATGCGCCAATTTAGTATTAGGAGCATTAAATCAGGTTGTAGTGTGGGTCCCGTATATAATACGTCATTTAATGAATTGCCTGAGCTTGTGCATTTCGAGGCATTGAATACAACTCTTACTTTTGTTGTAAGTTTTTCTGGCTTTATTACTGCATGGTGTGGGAGGTAAAATGAAGTATATTTACCTTTTGTAATTTTTTCATATGACTCGACTACTTCCATATGATTTAATTGGAGGTATTCCTCGAGTACATTGTCATACGAGGTCTTTAGCTCGCCTTTTTTAAGCAGGTTTTTTTCCATACTTAAAAATTGCTGAAGTGCTGAGGTTCGAGAGTGGCCTAAGGCGAGTGTGTCGGGAAATTGTGGCTTGAATGGTAGCCGTACAACGTAGCGGCCGTTTTTTGATCTTGTAGTTGTGGCTTTATAATAGTCTTCACAATACTTATCTTCTGGGGTAATGACTTGCATGGGGGGGAGTTCTTCTAACTCCCAAAATCTTCTTAATTGAGAATTGAGGTGTTCGTTTGAAATATCTTCAACTTGTGTTGTGAATACCGATATTTTTTCTTTTATTTGGCCGCTCAATATCCATCCAAAGATGGTATTTTGGGCTAACTGGGTATTTGAAATTTTCTCAATGCCTTCTAGCATTATTTGGGGGATTAGGTCGCTGCCTAATAGGATATCAACTTGCGCGGGGGTGTGGCAGTTGGGATCCGCTAATTTTAGGTGGGCAAATTTTTGGCGATCTTTGCCATTTACTTTATAGCTTGGAAGCATATTTGTAAGTTGCGGCAGAACTATGGCGTGTGCCTCTATTCTTACATCCGCATTGGGGGAAATCAGGGTTAATAAGCAGATTTTATTAGAGTTTTGTATTACTCTTCCACCCATTACCGAAATTTCAAAGTTTGAGTTTGTGGTTGGGAGTTTTAACCGGTTTTGTACTTTTGATGAGATAAACGATCTTTGTGAGCCTTGATCAATTAGAGCTCTAAGCTTGAATAATTCTCCTCGATGTTAAATTGAGACAAGCGCGGTTGGCAGTAAAATTTTGCTTTCACTTTCGGAATGAAGTGCTTGTATATTTGCTGTTTTTGAACAGCATGGTTTCTCTGTTTCGTTTTCGAGATTTTCGGGGAGTTCGGGTCTAGCTGCTGCAACTAGCCCTGTGGCTCTTTGCGAGTTAGAGCTATTTTGGGGGCTAAAATTATTAATGTGGAGCATCGAGTGATGCCTCTTTTGGCAGTATACACAATTGAATTGGGGCACCGAAATTGCGCATATGGAAACTGTGCATTTAGACACTATTTCGGTTTCAACCGAAACTGTGCATGTATGCTTTATTTCGGTTTTTGATATATGTATTATTTCGATCCCTGCTGAAGTCTAGAAAAAAGAAGTCTGATGAGGACATGTGGTGATCTCCGAAATAGTGCTATAACTTCTACCGCTTAGACTTTGTTGCTTTTTCAATTTTTCCTAATAAACAATCGTGGTACAAAGCTCAATAAAAATATTAAAAACTAGGAGTTGTATTCAATGCCTCGAAATGCACAAGCTCAGGCAATTAATTAAATGGCGTATTATATACGGGACCCACACTCAACCTGATTTAATGCTCCTAATACTAAATTGGCGCATGTTTAGATACGTTTTCAATGGGGATGTCGAAAAAATGTACCGACAATTCCTTCTACATAAAAACGACAAAGATTTTCAGCGCATTATATTTCGCAATTCTCCTAGTAGTCCAATACGCGACTACAAATTAAAAACGCTGACATTTGCCGTACATTGCGCCCCCTTTCTTGCCATTCGACCACTTCACGAATTGGCAAACAATATAAAAGAAAAATTGCCTCTAGCAACCCCGGTGTTAAAAACACAAACTTATGTGGACGATACCCTGTCGGGAAGCCACAGCTTATCCCAAGCATGTGAATCACTATCTCAAGTGATCCAAGCCCTCAACTCCGCAGGGTTCCCCTTGAAAAAGATAACGGCCAACCACCCCGAAATATTAAAGAATATAAATAAAGACCACATATTAGATACAAACTTCCTCATCTTTGAAAAAGAAAGTACCACCAAAACTCTGGGAATACGATATCAGATCATTTCTCATACACTCTTGAGTCAATATCTGCAATATCCGCAAAAACCAAAAGGCAAATCCTGTCGTCTGTGGCGAAACTTTTTGACCCCGCAGGATGACTTGCACCAATTATGATCCAAGCAAAGATACTCATTCAAGAATTGTGGATAGACGGTAGAGATTGGGATGAACAAGTTAAACCACTACGCTTGACAAAATGGTCCCAATTTGCCAACAATCTGAACACTATTTCAGAAATACAAATCCCTCGATGGGTAAACTACTCTCCCGAACTTCAAGCCGAACTTCCCGGCTTCTGCGACGCCTCTGAAAAGGCATACTGCGCTACTATATACGTGCGCACCCAACAAGATGGCAAAACAACAAGCCACTTGCTAGTCGCGAAAGGCAAAGTGGCTCCGCTAAAGACCGTAAGCCTACCACGACTTGAGCTATGCGGGGCGCTCCTCCTTGCAAAACTAGCCTCCACTGTTCGAACCCACGTAAGCCTTAACAATCGCAAATTATACCTATGGACTGACTCTAAAATAGTCTTAGCTTGGTTAGAAAAACCACCCCATACGTGGAAGACATATGTGTCAAACCGCACAGCCCAAATAATTGACTTAGTTGGGCCAGCAACTTGGCGTCATGTAGCCAGTGCTGATAACCCCGCCGATCTTGGCACAAAAGGTTGCAAACCCCTGCACCTCGCCTCCACCTCACTCTGGTGGAACGGCCACAGCTGGCTAACAGAATCACAACAAATCTGGCTACAATCCCCCATACGCATCATAATTCCCCCCGAAAGTCGAAAAATTTAAAACTTTCATGCCGTATTGGATGATACTGACATCCTTGAGCGATTTTCATCGTTCCCCCGAGCCCTCAGAGTAATAGCTTATATGTTTCAGTTCATAAATCGCCTCAAAAATAAAGTGAAAGGAGCGTATAACCCCCCGCATCATGCACTAGCACACCAAGATCTACAACGGGCTAAAATCGATCTGATTATGTCTACTCAAACCCGCTATTATGACCGGGAAATAGCACTTTTAATGGGTATCCAAGGCAATAGATAAAAAGAGCTCACTCTTAGTTCTTAATCCCTTCCTAGACTCGAATGGAATTCTACGCGCCAACGGACGTCTGGCAAACTCCAGTTTGAGTTATAACGAACGGTACCCAATAATAATACTCGAAAAATCCCCATTTTCCACACTGAATATAAATTATTTGCACTTATTGATGCTACACGCCGAATATCGGCTTATGCAGCAAATGATCCGACAAGAGCTTTATATCCCACGACTAAAGCCTCAGATAAAGAAATGTATTTTCCTGTGTAAAGCTTGCACTCTACATAAGCAGAAAATGCGCACGCAGATCACGGCAGCTCTACCACCTGAACGCTGCAATTTATCTTTGCCGTTTACCATCACGGGTGCTGACTTTGCGGGGCCTTTCCAGATAAAGGCCTCTATGTTAAGCTCTTCCACCTTTACGAAGGGCTATGTGGCCGTTTTTGTATGTTTTTCGACAAAAGCGGTACACCTTGAATTATGTTCAGATCTGACAACTGCAGTTTTCTCGCGGCATTTGCCCGCTTTGTCGGAAGGCGTGGATTTCCCTCAAAAATAATGAGCGAAAATGGCAAAACATTCGTCGGAGCCCAAAGGGCCACTGAAAAGCAATTTGTCCAATTTATTAAGGAAGTCTCGCCTGAAACCGATAAGACATATGCACCCCAAGGAATTAATCGTATGTGGCCCCCTGCTGCTCAAACAGATCAGCCTCCACAGCTAACCCAAGTCCACCTGAGCAGTCCCACACAAACACCACAGCACAACAACATAACAACACAATAGACCACACCACAACTGCGACAGACCACAGAACACACACAACCGCACCACCACCCACACGCCGCCGCCAACAACTCTTGGTTCCTCCTACAATCTGCACAGTATGTCAGACCAGGATATTCCGTAATGTGACATCAGTCAAGTGCAACACCTTCCTTGGCTGGTGCCACTTTAGGGCATGTTCAGGTCTGCGCACCACGCGGCATTGGACGAGGAACTTCGCAGCACGGTAGCAAACTTCAATCGCGACGCCACCCACCACCACCACAGTGCGGCAACCACCTCAGCAGCGCACACAGCCAATGGCGTCACGGCCCCACACATCTCTCACACCCCGCATTACCACACGTCTCCCGAACCACATGAAGCTCCTTCAATTTAACTGCAACGGGCTTCAGAGCAAGATCGAGGAGATAACCGTCTTTATGGGAAGGCATGGTATACTGATAGCTGCGGTCCAAGAGACGAAGCTGCACAGCAATTCAACATTGTTGAATTGTGCCGGGTACAACGTGCACCGTCGAGATCGCGAGCGAGATAATGGTGGTGGCTTAGCGTTCATCACGCACCACATCGTGCAGTATCGTCTTATCGAAGCAGACATCGACCGCAGGGATACCACCCTAGAATTTCAGGGCATTGCTATCCGGTCAAAAGATGTTGAGCTCGAAATATTCAACGTTTACATACCCCCTGTCACCTGCTGCCCGGCAGGATATCACCCTGATATAGGTGCGCTCCTCAGAGGTGAAAACCGAATGGTAGTAGGTGACTTTAATGCGCATCTTTGGCACTCAAGCCTGTCAAACGATCGTAGGGGAACCGATTTGGCTGAGCAGATAGACAATTCGACATTCTGCACAATGAACGACGACACACCCACCAGGATTATGGGCAGCTGCTGCAGCCCGCCAGACTTAACAATAGTCAGCGCTGGTCTGATAAACAGCATATCCTGGCGACCTATGCTGACTTTGGCATCAGACCATCTGCCCATAGTCATCTCGATCGATAAACCAACCGACTTTGCTTCCGCGGAGCACCGAACATATATCAATATCAACTTCTCCAAAGCGTATTGAAAAGGCTTCGCGGAATTTGCTGAAAACACCTTCGCTGCTCTCCCCTCACCAACCGACGTCCACCTTGGTGAACGTAAGTTCCGCAGGGCTGTCTCTGCTGCTGCAGCCCGCTTCGTAACGGCAGGGTGCATGACTGACCCTCGTCCAAAATTTCCCTGCCGAAGCGGCTGTCCTAGCCGATGAGCGTGACAGCCTTCGTCAGGCCGATCTCAGTTATCCCCGTATCAGGGATCTCAACGCGAAGATTTGGCAACTAGTGAACGTACATAAGCGGAAGAAGTGGGAAGAACATCTGAAGACCTGTAACTTCACCTCTGATGTGAGTAAGCTTTGGTCAACCGTGAGGTCACTGTCCAATCCGACGAAGCACGACGACAGAGTCGAAATTTCTTTCGGCGGCCATGCCTCGTCGGACCCGGAGCGATGCGCGAGCTACTTTAGCCGACAGTTCATACTGCATCCTCCGGTGGACAAAACCAAGCGTCGAGTGACCAGAAGGCTGCACAAACTGCCAACAAATTGTGCCCCCTTGCTTTCACTTGCGGTGAAGTTCAGGTGGCCATCGGGAAGGCGAAAGCCTCCAAAGCCATGGGTCCCGACGGAATATGCATGCTGATGCTGAAAAATTTGGGTCCTGCGGGAGTAGCGTACCTAACGGAGGTCCTCAATTTGTCTATGGCCACTCTCATAATTGCCTCTACCGCTCCACACATGGGGGGACTCTGGGAATCCGCCGTAAAAAGCTCCGAAGCGCATTTCAAGAAAATCGCTGGTAATTACAAATTTACTTATGAAGAGTTCACCACTC